GTGCAGACGAACACACAGACAACCCCTCGTCAATATGCGTTTTCTGCATTGCATAGCTGCAAAAAATGTATAAAAACAGAGCCATCGACAGCCTTACCAGCAAATGGCGCTGTTGAAAATTGCACCCTGCTCACTTTCGAGTTACTTAGATTACTTCCGAATAAAAAAAAAGATTTTGAATACAAAAAAGTGAATGAATATAAAGACTGACCCATAGAGTGAATATAAAGAGGATTTTTACATCTGACTTTCACAAACAAGAAAAAAAAATAGGCAAAAACAAGAAAAACTTACAAATAAATTTAGCCAGACATTTAGAAAGTACTTTAGCACATTAGACAAATATTTCATCGAGTAAAGAATGCTAAACTACGTGCGAACAGACATACCAATGAGTTAGAATTAATAGATATTAATCTTAATATCTACTAATTCTGATTACCACAATCGTCGTAAGCTGACAAGGTCCAGCTGTGGCAATGGTAAGAAATGTATACGACTTAATGGACCGAAATATTTTTCATTAAAATAATTTTATCAATTAATTTTATTAATTTACAAATTCTGTAATTTTCATCTCTTACCTTTCTCTCTGTTCATCTCTTTTCATCCGTTTTTAATATACTTTCCTATTAATATACCTTCTTGCTATTAAAATTATGGCCCTGATACGACCGCTCATAATCCGCTAATATCGAAAGTTCCACTGATATCGAAAGTCTACGAAATCTCAAAAATTTTCTCGGCTCATTTCTCGAGAGCACTCAAACATGGTATTCTTCCCGTTTTTAAAACACCACAATTCCCCGACTATCTTCCGATAAGCTGGACAAAATTCTGGTAAAATAGAACTGTCTCCTCGATTCCCCCTCATAATCCTCTAATTCTCTCTAATAAAAACCCTGCCCGTAATACGCCTTCTATAAGAGACGACAGGGAGACATTGGGGCATTAAACCGAGTGGTAGCAAATGCCAACAACAACCTCACCCGATGACAGGACTGTAGATGGCTCCCGCCTTCGATGGTTGCTCACAGGGAAGTTGACAAAGGGGTTCTCCCCGAAGACTCTGTGAAAACGCTGTTAAAATATACCTTAAGCAGCTTCACTACAGCTTTCGCTCGTGGCTCACCAATTTCACCATCCAGAAAGAAATTACTGCCAAAATCGGGAGCAACGATTCGCGCCGCATCGACTATCTGCACCGATCTGATGCCAGCCAACACTAAATTTTTCATAATTTCGCAGGCCAGTGCCGATGAGCCAAGCACACAGATGTTGGCATTCTCGATGCGCGACTGACCCTCATCACCCCACAGGCGAATCTGCCGATCGTAGCGTACATCTTTTTGCATTTTCCTGAAATTAAATAAATTTTTAAAATTCCATCTATGAGTCACGGTGAAAATTCGAAAATATCGCAAGCCTAGCGTTCTAGATGTGATCTGGCATCCTCCTTTACTAATACTATTTTTATGCGTTTTTTGCAGCTATGCAATGCAGAAAAAACATATTGACGAGAGGTTGTCTATGTGTGTGTGTGTGTGTGTGTCTGCGTGTGTGTGTCTGTGTGTGTCTGTGCGTTCATCTGTATCGATTTTTCATCTCGAGACCTACAAAAGCTACAAGGATGAAACTTTGGGAACATAATCTACATGCATGTACGGACCTCCATCCCAGAAATGGGTGTTCTTACCTGCGTGGTACCCATGTATGGGTTCGCCAAAGTCTTTGACGGACAAGCTACTAAATAGGGAACCAGAAAAGCTAAGAAGCTGAAATTTTAAAGGGATGTTTTTCATCACTGTAAGTCTCAATGAGCTCATACTCAGACCCCGCGTATGCGTGGTTCCCACATAGGGGCCCGTGGAAGCTTTTACAGGTAAGTCGCTAAGTGGGGAAACAGAAAAGATAGAAAGCTGAAATTTTAAGGAGAATGTTTAGTGACAGTCCTGGCGGTCAGTCTCAATTCGTTCAGCTGGAAGCATCTGTAGAAAAAACCGGTGCCATTAACAACAAAAAACTACGGGGAACTATGCAAAAAAATGCATCTTCGCACCAGCAGTCGGTGCGCTGGCCATTTATTTTTCCACGACGTTACAAGAACTATCTTTTGTTTTTGGTGCTTTCAGTTTTGCTTATCAACTACGATTTCTATTTATACCGATTTTTAATTTCTCAAAATAAAACACCAAAGTGGGCAGTTATTGCTGCTAGCCTGATTATGGCATGATTGTAGCATGAAAGTAATATGAAGAACGCAGAAAAGAAGGCAAGAATAGAACGAACTATGTAATGCAAGAGGTAGAAATATTACTGGTGCAGGGAAGATAAGTACGAGAGAGTTAAGGCGTTTCGGTCCATGAAGTCAT